TTACCATTGTCCATGGGGTTTTCTTGGCAAGGATACTGAAGTGGCTGCCATTTCCTTCTCCGGTGGACCACATTTTTTCAGAACTCTCTGTCATTACCTGTCCGTCTTGGGCGGCCCTGCACGGTATAGCTCATGGCTTCACTGAGTTACGCAAGCCCCTTCGCCACGACAAGGCAGTGATCCATGAAGGGGTGTAACCTATTAGCAGCTTTTATTAAATTTAAGAGAAAGATGAAGTTCTTAAAATAATACAAATATTAACCGCACAAATGGCAAGCTAATTGAAGTCATCACACTATCACCATTCCCAAAGTGAAGATTATAATTACTAATTACATCTTGCCAATTTTATTTGAAAAATGAACTCACTTGATAGTTTTATGTACAACTGCATCTCAAACAATTGTGCCACTTGTGGTCATTTCTGAAACAGGAAGCTACTCGATTATTTATGCCTTTGTCACATTGCAACTAGATTATTGCAGTTTGCATGTGATTGTCCCCAAAGACCATTTGAAAGTTTAGCTGGTTCAGCACACAGCAACTCAAGTAGTTATGAAAACACCTAGATTCACTTAGGTAACAATAATACTGTAGGAGCTGCAATGGCTGCCAGTTAGCTTCCATATGCAATTCAAGGTGCCAGTTGTCACTTTTAAGCCCTATGCAGCCTACATAGTCTGGATCTCTCTGAATCTGCCTTCTCCAAGATGAATCTGCTCATCCAGTGAAATCTAGTACAGGTTTTCTCAGGGTCAGAAATCTGAGGGAATGCCATTTACAAGGACCCATGCTTAAGCCTTCTCAGTGATGGCCTCCCATCTCTGGAATAGCCAACCACCAAATATTCAGCCAATCCCCTCCCTCTTATACTTTCAAAGAGCAATTAAAATATTCCTGGAGGTATTTTCGGATACCTCCTATATTATAACTATAATTACATTTGCTCTCCAGCTACAACATAAAACTGGGTTGTTTATATGGTAAAAAGATGTACTTGACAGTTTGGACACAAACTGTTATATTAATGCCCCATGAAGACTGTTAAAGCTTGAGGCTATGGCTCCAGTGTGGCATTTCTTAAAACTGGTTTTAAGAACACCTGGACAGGCTTTTACATCTTTCAGGAATGCTATAGAAGGCAGCTGTAAAGCCAGTTGCCAGAGATGGAGATTGGGTGTGTTGGGGATGAGGATAGGAAAGAGAATAGGCTATTGTACATTTTCTAAACATGATTTTAATGACTAAAATATTGTTATCCAGCTCATCATTTGGAATGGGGTGCACATTTAAACTAATATAAGAAAAATGATTTATGTAAACAATAGGGGAAAATATGTATACAATGGCCTGGACTATAATTCTGTCCTTCCCTTATGATGGTAGCATTGTAAGGCAGATGTGGAAAACTCAAAACCTTGTATCTGAAAAATACATATAGTCCCCATTTTAGTCAACTTTGGGATATATTAAATATCTATTCCAGTCTGCATAATCTCTTTTGTGAAGTCACCACACAAAGTAGCTAAAAATAAACTCATAAAATAAAATAAAATTTGCTGTGTAGCACTTGCATTTCATGAATGTGCTTCAGGGATATGGAAAATAATTTCAGGAGGCATAAATGAAAAAAAGTCCATACTTATTTTAAAACTGCACAAAGATCACAATATTTGTGTTGATTACTAGAGGATTAATTGGTTGCAACAGGAGGAACTGATATGTACGATTTGATTTTTCAGTTAAATATAAATGAAACATCCCATGCTTTAGAAACTTTGATTAAGCAGATTCAAAAGATATAACTTATAGGAACATTTACGCATCTTGTGAATTGTCAGAGAGGATGATTTAGTTGGGGAGCATTGATTCATATAAACCCTACAATATTATTTTTTGCATTTCTTTCTATTTGGTTCATATATAAAACTGGGCATAATTTGTATACATTAAATTTTATACTCTGGTTTCTCCTTCTCATATAAAACTTTACATTAAATTATAAATTAAAGATACTATGCCAACTCCTAAACAAGATATGGGCACATGATTTGGAATCACCAAAAATGACTGAGGTGCTCCCCCAGTCACCTATTCATTTCATCATAACTGTCTGTTATTAGTATAAGAAAGCCATATTTAACAATAACCAAGGACAATATTCTAGAAATATAGCTGAACATATAAAGCATTCTAGCACGTATATTCTATTATGCTGGGGGTGCCTTAAGCATACAGAACAATGTGGTTGCTATATATCTACCACCAATTTTCCATCTTTTAGAGTATAATTCTTTCCAGAAATCACATTTTGTATTCACTTATTTTGGTTACATGCTGCAAGGACTAAAATTAGAATCTTTACTATAGAAATTCAGTGGGTGCAGTTTTACCACTTAGATATCTGAAACTGCTGCTTATTAAGATCTTTCATTTATTACAGAACTTCTGCTAGTATTTAAAATATAGAAAAGTATACTCTTTCTTTTGGTCAGGTTTCATGAAACTATCTCTGTTATTTTTGCTTTTTTAAATAGATGCCAGAATGAAACACAAGTATGTTTAATTCTATTTAAATATATAACTGAAATTGCACTTAATTCTCCATCAGATGGTGACCATAACCTATAATAGAGTTCAAAGCTATTCAAAGTTCACAGCCTATCAGAGACAGTTTTAAAAAACAAAACAGGAAAAAAAAAACCAGAAAACTTTCCTGCAATACTATACCAGTAAGAAGGAAGTGATCAATAGCATCTTTGTAAATCAGCACAATCACATTTGGTCCCCTCAGCTCACTGCTAAGCAATTAGCGACCTCTGTTGGTGAGTTCTCAGGATAAGAGAAACAAAGAAAGTCTTCCCTGTATAATTCTGAGTGAACCGAAATTCATTTCTTATTTCTTCAGCCTACTTTAGAGGATAATTTCTAACATAAACAACAATAATATAAGCCAATTTGATTTCTTTTTTCTTTTATAGAATGGTATGGAATGACAGTTCAAACACACATTTTAAAAGGATTACTTATAAAATTTCAGATAAGAATTCACTAAAAAACTGACTTCTGAAATGATCAGTCTAAAATGACAGAGAATTGCCATTTAAAAAAACAGACTTTTACTTAAAGAATTGACAGAGATATTATGTCAAAATCTTTTTCATTCTTTTTTTTCCCTCAGTGAGAACAACTGAAATTATTTCAAACTGTTAATGCTGCAGAGTGAGCACAATTAATTGATCCTGTTTGGTGAAGGAATACAGTTTATTCATTCAACAACAGTTTATGATATTGACTGTTCAAACATTAACTAATGTTATTGATAGAAAACCAGATCATTATCTATCCATAAACTGATTATCTTTATAAAAAATATTTTGATAAAATTAAGAATATCATGCAGCATAACATTGATCAATGTTTTTAATATAAGTTAGAAACCAGCGCTTAATTTAACTGATATAATAAAATTTAAGAGTTTTAATTAAATTGAGAAAAATGTAGCATTTATTTGATATAATGT